TGTTGAAGTGGATCGACATTCTATTAAGAAGAAGCTTGATGCGGAAATATTAATAACGACAGTCTCTCTTTTGGCAAGTTGGTCATTGATGATATCTATGCACCAACTTGAGGGGGAGTGTTAGCAATAGTCAATTAATGAGGATTAGTTTGGCACCTACAATGGTTGGTAGCCTACAATGTTTAGTCAATTAATGTGTTAATTATGTAGTCAATTAATGTTTGGCACCTACTATGTTTGGCACCTACTATGTTTGGCACCTACAATATTTGGGGGGCTTGACTAGGTTGGTTGCCTAACTAGTTTGGTTGCCTAATTAGTTTGGTTGCCTAACTTGGGGGGCTTGACTAATGTCTTAGGAACTTGTATATATATGTTGATTGTAAGGAATGAAACATAAGTGAAAAATCAGAAAATATTCTACAACTATCATTCTCTCATTCTCTCTACACTTTCCACTCTCTACTCTCAATATTCTCTATGTTTTGGCAGATATTGATACAAATCTCCACTCTTGACACGTGGATAATAAGAAGCATCTGTGGAAACAGTCATCATATTATGATTCTCCTGTTGCAGCTGCTGCACAAGCTGGATGCCAAACTCCTTTACCTGAAGCCAAGGTTGCATAATTACTGAAACAACAACTTCATCGCCACCTTCTAAGTGAACCTGCTCCTCCAACTTCCAGAGGCTTAACCACCATATCATGTCTTCTCCTTCACCTGGAATACCGTAGCATCGTGGGCAATAGATCCACTTCCAGAGGCTCTTATTTTTTACTCTAGTAATTATTGCCCCAGGTAAAGCTCCTCTAACAGAATAATTAGCATACAATTTTGTATAGACAACGAAGACCTTCAAGCCTTGAATTCTGTGATTGTCAAGTATATCGGGGACTTTGTACTTTTGTGGACTTTGTACTTTTGTGGCTGAACTGCCCTGGAACCTCATTCCCAGCAAAAAATGTGCTGAATATACCCTTTTCATATAGCCCCTGTAAATCACAATATTATAAGTAAATTCTTTACTATGAGAGAGAGAGACAGACAGAGACAGAGAGAGACAGAGACAGAGACAGAGACAGAGACAGAGACAGAAAGAGAGACAGAGAGACAGAGAGACAGAGAGACGCTCACCTGGACGGGATTCCAAACATCCTTTGCAGACATCCAATTTCGTTTGCGCATCCGAATGGGTGCCATGGATTCCAAGTTTGACAAGCCCAAAAGGTTGATAATTTCTGCATCAACACTTCCAACGGGTTCTAGCTTGTACCTGTACTGCCACTCAACTAGGTTGCAATTGTTCCACAATATTGCATCAATGCGCCTTGGACGGCGTTCATATGTTATTTTTTCCAACGATATGCAGTCTGCTACATCCAACGTGCCCACTCTTGGTAACCCCTCAAGCAATTTCAGAGTCTTACATCCCGAAAAAGAGAGTTTATCAAGCCTAGTTAAACCTTTGATACAATTGGGCAGGCTACAAATTGGATTGTCCCCTATATTTAGTCTTCGCAATGAGGATAGATTACTAAATTCCCTTGGAAAGGCATCATTCGAAAGATTGCACCCCTGAAGACTTAAATCAACTAAAGAGCATGTTAAACAACTCAAGATACATGAACTTCTTCCTCGGACTAGTTCACCTATCAGAATTCCATCCGTATGAAGCACTTTCAGAGATTCAATGTTCCTCAACATCTCAATTGATAACTCATTAAGACTTGTGCAACCAGATATAATAAGTGTTTCAAGTAATTTTAGCATACATATGTTCTCTGGAAGCATCTTAAGACTTTTGCAATCCTTCGTATTCAGGTAAACAAGTCTCTCAAGGTTTCCAATGGATCCATGGACATAAATCAGGCTCACACAATCTACAAGAATAAGTTTCTCTAGATTTGGGCAGAATGAGAAGTCAGTGGTTTCTGTAAGGGAATGAGAATGGCTGAGATCAAGAATCTTCAATGATCGAAGACACTGTTGGGGAAAAGATATACAGAAGCAAAAAATGTGGGGAGTTAATTGTTAATAGATACAGAATTTTTTTTATGAAACGAAAAGCTTAATGAAAGTGAAAATGGAAAAGAAAAAAAAAAATTAGAAAAGCGTAGAGTAACATACTTTTGTTCCTTTGCAGACTTGCCTCAAGCTGCTATATCTCATTTCAAGAACAACCAGGCTCCTCAAAGAAAACTCGGTGGGTATAGAATCCAAAGGAAACTTAGTCCAACACAACCATCTTAATCCTGTACAAAATTCTGCATAAGATCCGTTAAGTTGTACATGACTAAGATGGAGTAGTTTTAGTTCCCGCATCTTTGCAAATGCATTGGTTTCCAAGACTATCTCATTTGAGTTTATGAGAATGTTTGTAGGGAGCATATGCATATCAAAGACAAGACCTTCAATTGCTCTCGTACCCTACAAAAGAAAGGAGAAACACATTTGGAAAATATTTACAAGAAGGAAAACATATATGTGTACATATAACACATGTTTCTTACATTATTTTCTGACAGGATTTTGAAGGAATCCTTATGATGCCATCCTCTACTACGCTTCCAAGGCTCCTCTGATTCTTGGTGAACAATTTCTCTTCCCATTCCACAAATCAGGTCATGCATATGCACCTTGTCAAATTCATCAATTGTCACCAAACATCTATCGATGAGATTTTGAATGCCAACAATTGTATAGAAATCACATCCATCTAGTATTTTAACAATGTAATCTTTGTCCTTTCCGATAAAGAAACAAGCAATGTGGAGGAATAATTTTCGGTCATGGTCATCTTGCAAAGAATCGTAACTTACTCTTAGCTTATTTACTATTTCACCATTTGGAATGGCTTTTAATTTCTCCAATGCACTTTTCCATACACCTATACTTTCCCCCAACAACGAAGAACCTAAAACTTGAAGGGCTAATGGAAGTCCTCCGCAATGATCGACTAGCTTCTCTGAATATTCTATGTAATCTTCAATGGGATGGTCTCGGCCAAAAGCGTGCCAACTTAAGAGCTCCAATGATTCTTTGTTATCCAAAGTTTGAACTGTATGCACCTTTGTAACTTGATGAACCTTTAACAATCTTGCACGCCTAGTTGTTATGATGATTTTACTTCCTGGATAAAACTGATCTTTCATTCCAAGCACCACATCTAATTGGCTAATATGATCCACATCATCGAGAACAAGAAAAACCCTTTTAGAGCTTATCGCATCTTCTATCTCAGTCATTCCCTCACTAACACAGTGTATTTTTACTTTTCTCCCAATCAAAATATCAGAAAGAAGTTGTATTTGTATTTGAACTAGGCCATTAGGTTGTTGTGAAATTTCTCTAATGTTTTCAATGAAGCTGCTTCCTTCAAATCTTTCAAAGTTTGTATTATAAACAGACTTTGCAATGGTTGTCTTCCCTATTCCACTCATGCCATAAATTACAAGTATGCCAACTTCATCTGATCCATCTTGTAACCATAAATTAAGTTCGTTGACTCGAGAATGCATTCCGATCATTCTGTGGGGAACACTTAGGGGTCTTCGCCTTAGTTTTTCTCCTATCACTTGAACAATCTTGTTGATAAACTTTGACTCGTGTCTGAAAAGTTGCAATCCAAATGAAAAAAAGATTTCAAACATCACTGCAATAGACTTCTCATTTGAAAAACCCAACTTTGATTTGTTTGATTTCTTAAAATGAGCTTTCTGAAAAACCCAACTAAATTTATATGGGAAGATACATTTTAAAGTAAAACTGTTTGTACCAAAATTTGCACTTTTTGGCCAAACTCTCCATTCTAGCCAAAATACATTTGGACTTATTTTTTACTCATCAGCCCAACTGGCCATTCAGACTCCACTTGCCAAAAATTGGAAAAGAAGCCCATATCATTCCAATAGAAAGGTAAAAGTAAAAGTTATCTCCTATAGCCATTTAAGTCTCAGGAACTACAGACCCGTGTGGTCTCATCAGTTAAGATATTTTGAAGCACAAGTTACAAGAATGGCCAGAAGGTATTCAAAAGGAATTCTTAGAGAAAGCATGCTGAGTATCTCTGCAAAACATCCATGTGCCTTCAAAAGAGGGATATTTTCTTCACAAGTTACAAGGAAAAGATATTCATCACAACTGATATTTTCCAGGAGATATTTTCCAGATATTTTTAGGAACCAAAATTCCTATAAATACAAGGGATGAGAGCTGAAGAAAAGACACCCCCAACAATCAATAAAACAAATACAAAAGAAACAATCAGTTCACTGATCATTCTAGCCTTCAATAGAAGCAAAACCAACAAAGGTACCAAGGACCTTCAAAGCTATCCTTGAGATTCTGCTCAGAATTCCCAGCCACTCACAACTCAACTTGATTATAGCTCTGCCAATTTCAACATTGGTATCGATTTCCAGCTAATATTTATTAGTTGAAGGTGCAGCCAGTCCAGTCCAGCCTGACAGTCCAGTCCAGTCCAGTCCAGTCCAGCTTGACAGTCCAGTCCAGTCCAGTCCAGTCCAGTCCAGCCACACAATCCAGTGCAGTCCAGCTTGACTAAAATAGTCTCAGAAATGGCATTCCAGGCAGAATTCGAAGTCCAATATTTTGATGTATTTCCGGACTTAGCAGTTCCTTTCATTTACTGTATTTCAAACAGTTCTCCTTGAACTTGTTTTTATTTTCAAACACTTGTATTTTTGCTTTACTTCCCAGTTTTATTTAGATAAATTATGAAGTCCTTACCAGTCTAAGGCATAGAAAAGAACTTACTTGGGAGATATTCCTCACCCAAATTCACAATCGTTTGTTCAAAGTCAATAGCTTGGGGCGCAAGTTATTTTTACTCTCAAGTCTGTTAGAATTGAAAAATTGCTAATGGTGGCACGCTCGACACACAAAGAAAGTTAATTTATTGACCAACCATGGTCTTTGGATTAATGGGGAACTTTACCCTACCATCACAGGTACTAAACACAAAAAGGGGTGAACAAAAACAAGTCATAAGAAAATTCAGAAATATTATAATTAACACGCCCTGAAAAAGTAAAAATCATATGAAATTAACTTTAGAAAGAAAAACATGACAATAGAATGAAAAGATCATTTTCAGTATTTTAACTTTAGAAAGAGACGTATAAATAAAACAAAGTAGTAGGAAAGAAATTACCCATCAGTTTGTTTGACGGTTGGGATCTTTGGTGTCTAGCAAATGCCTTTGCAAGACTTCCTGTCTGCTTCCGCACATCGGATGGATCCACGTCGTAGAAGACAGGTAAAACGACATGGTCAGCTGAGATCCTCTTGCGTTCAAGGATCATGACGAGCTCCTCAAGGCACCATGTGGACGACGCGTAGTCTTTTGAAAATACAATAACAGAAGTTCGTGAATGTTTGATTGCTTTCTGAAGTTCGGGCTTGATACCTTCTCCTCTCTGGACTTCATCGTCGTCTCGGAAAGTGCGAAATCCGGCGTTGACAAGGGCCGTGTAGAGGTGGTCAGTGAAAGTCTTGCGAGTGTCTTGGCCTCTGAAACTCAGGAACACGTGATGACGACAATATCGACAAGTATAAGAAGAGGAGGTTTTCCGAGCTGCTCTCACAAGTGCCATGGATGAGGTGTTGTGAACAAATAAACTGTCTGCGTGGAAATTAAATCTTCTATCAACTTTTGAGGTTCCTACTTCCTTCCTGGATTGTATAAACAAGCCGCTTGTGAATGACCAAATAAAAGGATCATCCATCCATTGACTTAAAAAGCAATTATTTTGAGTCAAGCAAATGAAATCATTATGTGTTTTTTTTTCTTTCTTTAAAATAAAAAAGGGAGAAAGTAACAAAAGCAATCCAACTAGTGGGAGCTTTATTTGTGTCTTTTAAAAAAAGATACGGCCCCCTTGAAATGAAAGGAGAGTAATGGCATGACAAATTCTAGGTTCACACCATGCCATTGCCAGGAAACCTCTGTCTATTATTACTTCGATCTTACTAGATCCAAATTTTATGCTCCAATAAACTGTGGGCTAGTTGCAATTTTGAAATTAAAATTAGGTCTCATATTGTATGTGTTATTCCTAGATGAGATACTATATGCTATGGGATTTGGTTACAGTACAAACTCGTATTCAATATAAACAAATGTTTGTATTGAAAGCTTATTTGTTTATTTTTTATATTCTAATATTAACTTAAATCAACGAAATAGATTAAATCTAAGCTATTTTAATGGTAAAAAAAAAAATCCAACTATTGAAATTTAAATTCAAAGATCAAAATAATATTTTAACTTAATCTAAATCATATCCAACATCAAAACTCACCCCAAACTCTATAAATACCCACTCATTTCTCAAATAATCAACCAAAAACATTAAATTTGTAGAATTTCAATTTTTAAAGGTCAAATGTTCAAAAAATTAAAGTATGCAGTTATTTAAAAAGATTAAATAAAGAAAAGTTATCCATAAAAAAAAATTAGATTTAAATCATTCTTAAACAATTTAATAAAGTTGCGGACTTAAAATTTGAATCCGTAGGATTGGGAGAAAAAACATTTTGAGTCTGGGTAGAACCCAAATAGTTACTTTTTGCAGGGGAAAATTTAGGTTTAGTCCTAAATGGGTTGGAGAAGGCCTAATGAGGTATGAAATAACATATAGTGAAAACGTAGTATCCTAGTTGGTGTCACCACATAATGAAGTATGAAATAACATAGCATAACTTATATGATTTAAAGACAATGGATAATATAAAGACATCACAAAGATGGATAATATAAAGACAATGGGATTTCCGTAAGGTTTTTTCTTTCTGTCATTACAGTCCTACAAATTAACACTCAACATCAATTTGGCCCTTAATATTTGATTTTGCAAACAAATTGTTAGATTGCTGACATGGTACACTGCAGCGTGGATTAAATATATATACAGAGAAACAGGGTGTTTGGAGTCGGCTTGAGCTTCAATAGCATTTAGAAAATTACAAACAACAATGATTCGGAGTTCCAAAACGTAAAGAAATATTGTAAACTATATGTAATGGATGCCCGCCTCCCAATAACTCACTAAACTGTATTTTAAATGCTTATAGATGAAGCTTTTGAAGAGCAATTCTATGCATATTCTCTTCCTCTAAATTTTCCTAATTTTATAACATAAACAAAGTTAAGAAAATAAGAAAGAAATAAGATCAGAGAATGAATTTGAATACGAATTGGAAAAGAAATCGACCATAGCAGTGCTCAACAAGTTGCGGGGAGTGGTGGACTGCTTTACAATTTAATATAACAAACCCTACACAGATTCCCAAAAGTGTCGCTCTCATGACGTAGAATGGAAAAATCGATTGAATAAATTTGGTGTCTGTAGGCGAAACTACGTAGTGGGGCAACATTGGGCCGTAGCCCAGGTAGCTTTCTGCAAAAATAAAAATATTAAACCTATATATATCCCGTTAAATGGATGGCCCCTTCACGTTGTGTGGCTTCTTGGCGGTTTCCATGCACTGAAGTTTCCAAGTCTGATTACAATCATAATGAAATACTAATATACTAGTTGATCCCACCATATAATGAACATGAAGCATGATATTCTGTTTTGTTTTTTTTTTTTTAAAGGATATATGTGATACTTAGGTTTAGTGGTCTCAAGAAAAATATATGTTGACTTTCCGTATCTTGTGCTATCAAAGTCGATCTCATCGTCCTTACCCTTAATTTTCAAATTTTAATCTTTTTCAATTTTCTCAAGCATCGCACATGGCACAACTTAGGTATACTTGGAATTATGTTATTGAATATATATTCATTTTGACAATATGTATTTTTTTATATTATATTTAATATGTATATGTTTTATGTTAATACTTATTGAAAATTAGTTAATGAAGCTATGAATCAGTATAACTTATATGATTTAATGTATAATTTTTTATTTCCGCCTAGTACCATCACAAAGATGGATACTATAATGACAATGGGATTTTGTAAGGTTTTTCCTTTATATAATTATAGTCCTCCAAATTAACACCGCTGCGTGAACTACATACACACACTCATATATATATTGAAAAGTCATTTAGAAAAAATTTGGGGGTCTAATGATCAAAGTTAGATTATCATACAAAGGACAATCCACTGGGGAAAAAAGAAGAAAAAGCAAACCGGACGCATCATTGCAAATTCGTCTTTTGGATCTGACTATATTCAAACCAAAATTCAGCCTTAGTTAATATCATAGTTATGACAGAGAGATAGGGTGTGGGTGGTGTCTGTGGTCGGCGTGAGCTTAAATTGCATTTAGAAAACTAAAAACAACAATAATTCGAAGGTCCAAAAAGTAAAGAAATATTTTAAACTGTTGTAAACTATATGTAATGGATCATGGATGCCCACCATGCCCATAGTATACCCACCATATGACTCACCCTCCCAATAAGTCACTATTTTGTATTCCAAATACCTATAAATAGGCACTCGATGAATAGATGAAGCTTTAGAAGAGCAATTCAATGGTTATTCTCTTCCTCTAGATTCTCCTAAATTTTTCTAGTTTTATAACATAAACAAAGTTAAGAAATAAGAAAGAAATAAAAGAATGAATTTGAATAAGAATTGGTAAACAAGTGGCGTGGAGTGGTGGACTGCTTTTACAATTTAATATAACAAACCATAGCTTTTCTCTTTCGGCTCCTCGTGAGCTGTTGTTTGCTCTTGTCTGTTTGTTTATGTTGCCCCATTTTTGGGCTTTGATGAAAGACATTTTCGAGGGAAAAAAACGAAATTTTTTTTTTTTGACCAATATAGAGGGCTAAGTTTGCACACCAGTGTGGAGAAAATTGGATGGATAGTTTCTTATTGTTGAGGGAGATGTTCAATACATTGTTACCTTTTTGAGATATTTAGTTATATATCCATTTTTAGTACTAATAGTATGATGCCATACTCTACTACGCTTCCAAGGCTCCTTTGATTCCAGGCGAACAATTTCTTCCCATTCCACGAATTAGGTCATGCATTTGCACCTTGTCACATCCATCAATAATAACCAAACATCTATCAATGAGATTTTGAATGGCAACAATTGTATAGAAATCACATCCATCCAGTATTTTAACAATGTAATCCTTGTCCATTCCTATAAGAAACAAGCAATGTGTAGGAATAATTTTCGGTCATGGTCATCTTGCAAAGAGTCATAGCTTACTCCTAGTTTATCTATTATTTCACCATTTGGAGTAACTTCTAACTTCTCCAATGCACTTTTCCATAGACATATACTTTCCCTCAACAAAGAAGAACCTAAAACTTTGAGAGCTAATGGAAGTCCTCCGTAGTGATCGACTAGCTTCTCTGAATATTCTATGTAATCTTTAACAGGATGGTCTTGGCCAAAAGCGTGCCAACTGAAGAGCTCCAATGATTCTTTTTGAATCAAAGTTTCAATTGCTTACACCTAACAATTTTATGAGCCTTTAAAAGTCTTGCACGCCTAGTTGTTATGATGATTTTACTTCCTTGATAAAATCGATCTTTCATTTGAAGTACTGCATCTAATTGGTCCATATGATCCACATCATCGAGAACCAGAAGACCCCTTTTAAGCTTATTGCATCTTCAATCTTTATTAATCCCTCACTAGCATTGCTTATTTTCATTTTCTCCCATTCAAAATATTATAAAGAAGTTATGTATGTGTTTGAACTAAGCCATTAGAGGTTGATCTGAAACTTCTTTGATATTTTCAAGGAAGCTGCTTCCTACAAACATTCTAAAGTTTTGAATTGTAAACAGTCTTTGCGATGGTTGTTTTCCTATTCCACTCATCCCATAAATTACATGTATGCCAACATCATTTGATCCATCTTGTAACCATAAATTAATTCCTTGAACTTGAGAATGCATTCCAATCAAGTTGGGAGCAACACTTACGGGTGTGGGACCCAGTTTGTCTCCAATCACTTTAACTATTTTCTTAATAAACTTTGACTCGTACCTATAGACTATTGCAATCAAAATGAAAGAGAATTCAAACCTGCTACATGCATGATTTCATATACTTAAGTTATAAAATACCATGGAAATAAGTTCAGAAAGTTAGAAGTACAAATATATAATAGATGAGTGCTGAAAGAGTTAGATAGAACTTAAACTATGTTTGCAATAACAGTTGAAAGAGTTAGATAGAACTTAAACTATGTCTACAGATTTATTCTCTGAAAAATTTGCATACTGAGAGAATGTTCTTGATATGCATTGACTGTTCTTGATATAGAATTAAACAAATGGTACTGAAATTTATAATGAGCTTGAGATTTTGGCTCTTTTCATCACCTGTCGTAAATTAATTTTGTACAATGAGCAGCTCAAAGAATCAAAAGAGAACATTGCATTGCATGATACATATTTCCAAGCAGATCGATGCATTTGATGCTACAAAACGAAATAGGTCTTAGGAAGGAAAACATTGGACATATGCAAGAACAACTGTATGCAGTTCAGGTACAAAAAGTTTATCCACGGCTTGTTGACTTTCGCTTCTTTTTGTGAGAGAGAGAAGACCGGGTGATAAGAGAGAGCGTGAGAAAGAAGCAAGCGGCGGTGATGATCACCTTCCAGCTACGGAGGCCGCCAGTTTTGTTGCTGCCTGTCGTGGCTGCAATTGTTTGATCATAGTGTTGCTCCTCTTCTTTGTCTGACAATGTAAATGCAAAATAACATAAAATCCCAACAAATTAGATGAAACTTAATAGTCCGAGTAAAATCAAATGAATTAATAAAAAACACACCTGTCGTATCTTCATCATCAGAGTCCCCAAGGATCTGAGAATAAGAAACTTCTGTGGAAACAGTCAATATATTAAGATTTTCTTGAAGTTGCATAAGCTGGATGCCAAACTCCTTGACCTGAAGCCAAGGTTGCATTATTACTGAAACAACCACTTCATCGCCACCTTCTAAGCGAATCTGCTCCTCCAACTTCCAGAGGCTTAACCATATCATGCCTTCGCCTTCACCTGGAATACCGTAGCATTGTGGGCAATAGATCCACTTCAGACCCTTGCTCTTATTTCTGACTCTAGTCATTATTGGCCCAGGTAAAGCGTGAGCAGAACCATTGTCATTGCCATGTTTTGTGTAGACAGCGAAGACCTTCAAGAATCGAATTCTGTGATAATAATCACGTAATGGCACTGTAAAAGATATCGGGGACTTTGTACTTCTATGGCTGAACTGACCTGGAACCTCATTCCCAGCAAAAAAAGTGCAGTATATACCATTTTCATACAATCCCTATACATATAAAATGTAAATGACAATATTACAGAGAGAGAGAGAGAGAGAGAGAGAGAGAGACGCACCTGGACGGGACTCCAATCATCATTTTCTGAAATATGAGATGGTTTGTGCATCCGAATGGGTGCCTTTGATTCCAACAAGTTCAATCCCAAGACGTTGATCAATTCAACTCTACCAAAGGGTAGTAACCAGTACTGCCACTCAACTAGGTTGTAGCTGCAACTGCCTCTGGTAAGTTCTCCCGGGGATAAAAAGGATTCATACGTTATTTTCTCCAATGATATGCAATGAGTGATATCCAAGTCCTTTAATTTTGGTAACCCGAGTAGCGATTTGAGACTCGTACAATTGTGAAAAGAGAGTTGATCGAGCCTTGTTAATCCTTTGATACAATTTGGTAGGCTACAAATTGGATTATTCCCTAGATTTAGTCTCTGCAATGAGGACAAATTACTAAAATCCATAGGAAAGGCATCATCCGAAAGCTTGCACCCCCAAAGACTTAATTCTACTAAAGAGCACGGTAAAGAACCCAAGATACTCAAACTTCGCGCAATGTGCGTTGTGAAAACATATTGACAACATGCGGCGCACATTGTTGAAGCCGATGTCGTTAAAAGGTGTAGGGCTTTCGACAACACGCGTTGAACGTCGTCATTTATTTTGGCGCTCGTTGTGAACAACATTAACCACAACACGCGCACGTTGTAGGAGCGATTGACAACAACGTGCCGAGCGTGTTGTCTTATAATATTATGACAACATGTCTGTGCTCGTTGTTGTTTATGTTTTGACAACAAGCAATGCGCGTTGTTATATCAAATATATATGTTTTTTTTTAAATAATTATCAAAATTACCTGATAAAAGTATAATTTATCTATAAATAGCATGTTCCTCAGCATCTCAATTGATAACTCCTTTAGATTTGAGCAACCAGATATAATAAATGTTTCAAGTGATTTTAGCATACAAATGTTCTTGGGAAGCATCCTAATCCTTTTGCAATCTTTCATATTCAAGTAAATAAGTCTCTCTAGGTTTCCAATGGATCCATGGACATAAATCAGGCTCATGCAGTCTACTAGAACCAATTTCTCTAGATTTGGGCAATATGAGAAGTCAATGGTTTCTGAAAGGGAATGAGAATGGCTGAGATCAAGGATCTTCAAGGACGGAAGATACTGTAGAGGAAAAAATGTACATAAGAAAACAATGTGGGGAGTTAATTGTTATAAATATATAATTTGTTATCAAACTAAAAGCCTAATGAAAATGAAAAAGAAATTGAAAAGAGTAGAGAGTAACATACTTTTGTTCCCTTGAATACTTGTCTCAGACCGCTGTATTGCATTTCAAGAATAATAATGCTCCCCAAAGGAAAATCAACGGGCATAGAATCTAAAGGAAATTCAAGCCAACACAACCATCTTAGTCCACTACAAAATTTTGCGTAACATCCGCGGAGTTTTACATGACTAAGATGGAGTAGTTTTAGTTCTTGCATCCTTGAAAATGCATTGGTTTCCAAGACTTTCTCATTTGAGTTTATAGTAGGGCACATGTGCATGTCGAGCACAAGACCTTCAATTGTTTCCATACCCTACAAAAGAAAAGGAAAAAACATTTGGAAAGTTTTTAGAAGAGGAAAAACAAAATGTGTACAAATAACACATATTTCTTACATTCTTTTCCGTCAAGATTTTGAAAGAGTCCTTATGATGCCATACTCTACTACGCTTCCAAGGCTCCTTTGATTCTAGGCGAACAATTTCTCTTCCCATTCCACGAATCAGGTCATGCATCTGCACCTTGTCCCATCCGTCAATTATCGTCACCAAACATCTATCGATGAGATTTTGAATGCCAACAATTGTATAGAAATCACATCCATCTAGTATTCTAACAATGTAATCTTTGTCCATCCCAACAAAGAAACAAGCAATGTGGAGGAATAATTTTCGGTCATGGTCATCTTGCAAAGAGTCATAGCTTACTCTTAATTTATTTATTATTTCACCATTTGGAATAGCTTCTAACTTCTCCAATGCACTTTTCCATAGACATATACTTTCCCCCAACAAAGAAGAACCTAAAACTTTGAGAGCTAATGGAAGTCCTCCGCAAAGATCGACTAGCTTCTCTGAATATTCTATGTAATCTTTAACAGGATGGTCTTGGCCAAAAGCATGCCAACTGAAGAGCTCCAATGATTCTTTTTGAGTCAAAGTGCCAACTGCATACACCTCAGTAACTTGATGAGCCTTTAACAATCTTGCACGCCTAGTTGTTATGATGATTTTACTTCCTGGATAAAATTGAGCTTTCATTTGAAATATTGCATCTAATTGGTCCATATGATCCACATCATCGAGAACAAGAAGAACCCTTTTAGAGCTTATTGCATCTTCAATCTTAATTAATCCCTCACTAACATTGCTTATTTTCATTTTTCTCCCATTCAAAATGTTAGAAAGAAGTTGTGTTTGTATTTGAACTAAGCCATTGGGTTGCTGTGAAACTTCTTTGATATTTTCAAGGAAGCTGCTTCCTTCAAATATTCTAAAGTTAGAATTGTAAAAAGTCTTTGCGATGGTTGTTTTCCCTATTCCACTCATCCCATATATTACAAGTATGCCAACGTCAGTTGACCTGCGTTTTAACCAGAAATTAATTCTTTCGACTCGAGAATGCATTCCAACCAAGTTGGGAGCAACACTCAATGGCGTGCGACTTAGTTTGTCTCCAATCACCTTAACTATTTTCTTGATAAACTTTGACTCGTACCTAGAAAATTGCAATCAAAATGAAAGAGAATTCAGACATGCATGCATGATTTCATATACTTAAGTTATAAATACCACGGAAATAAATTCAGAAAGTTAGAAGGTACAAATATATAGGTATTTCTCTGTCTTTGCATCTCAGTTCCGGATGCCTTTAGAAGAACCTGGATTGCTGAGGGTGTTTTTGTGGATGTGCTGGATATAAGGGTTATTAAAGAATCTATCATTTTTTTTTTCTTTTATTTGAAAGGACAGAATCCATCAATAATTTTTGTACACTTAACGAAATACAGATTAATAACGAGATACTAATTCAGTTGCAACCAAATAAAGAAACTAATTCAGTTGGTAGTAGGAATGAAATTACCCATGAGCTTGATTTTGCAAGACCATCCCTGCCAGATCTGCAACCTCTGCAAGTGCCTCTCTCCATGCCTTCACCTTCGGCAGCGGTTGAGTTTTTTGGTGTCTAGCAAATGCCTTTGCAAGACTTCCTGTCTGCTTCCTCACATGGGATGGATCCACATCGTAGAAGACAGGCAAAACGACATGGTCATCTGAGGTCCTCCTCTTGCGTTCAAGGATCATCACCAGCTCGTCAAGGCACCATCTGGACGACGCGTAGTCTTTCGAGAACACAATGACAGAAGTTCGTGAGTGTTTGATTGCTTTCTGCAGTTTGGGCTTGATACCCTCTCCTCTCTCGACTTCATTGTCGTCTAGGAAAGCACGAAATCCGGCGTTGGCAAGGGCCGTGTAGAGGTGGTCAGTGAAAGTCTTGCGAGTGTCTTGGCCTCTGAAACTCAGGAACACGTGATAACGACAATATCCAGAAGTACTGGAAACAGAGGAGGTTTGTGGATCGGCTGCTCTCACAAGAGCCATGGATATCGACGATTTGAAGTGGTCAAGAAACAAACTAGCGTTTGCTGGTGTCTCATCGAAAGCCAAGCGTGTTATGATGAATTGCAGAATTTAATGAATGAAAAAGACAGCCTACCCATAACTCCATTGACTTGACTTGACTTGAAAAGCGATTAGGCTAACGTAGACCACAGAAACAGAGTGTCCCATAATCTTCAATGTCCTTCTTTCACTCTGTGACCTTTGTTACTCTGTTTTCCTTGAGTTTTACGTTATGGGTTACCTTGTTTGGGGCTTTGGTTTTCTTTTTTGGGCTTTTGGCACCAAGACCATATTAAATTCATGTGCATGTCAAGGACAAGGCCTTCAATTGTATCTGTACCATACAAAAGAAAAGAGAAAAACATTTGGAAAATATTTACAACAAGATGAAAAACATATATGTGTGCATATAAGAATATTTTCCTTACATTCTTTTTTGTCAAGATATAGAAGGAATCCTTATGTTGCCATACTCTACTATACTTCCAAGGCTTCTCTGATTCTAGGCGAACAATTCATCTTCCCATTGCACAGATCTTGTCATGCATCTACACCTTCTCCCATTTATCAATTGTAATCAAACATCTATCAATGAGATTTTGAATGCCAAAAATTGTATAGAAATCACATCCGTCTAGTATTTTAACAATGTAATCTTTGTCCTTTCCTCTAAAGAAACAAGCAATGTGGACGAATAATTTTTGGTCATGGTCATCTTGCAGAGGGTCGTAACTTACTCTTAGCTTATTTACTATTTCACAATAAACTGTTTGCGTGGAAATTAAATCTTCTACAAGTTTTGAGGTTCCTACTTCCTTCCTGGATTGTATAAACAAGCAGCTTGTGAATGACCAAATGAAAGGATCATACATCCATTGACTTAAAAAGCAATTATTTTGAGTCAAGCAAATGAAATCATTATCTGTTATTTTTTTAATTTAAGATAAAAAAGGGAGAAAGTAACAAAAGCAATCCAACTAGTTTGATCATAGTGTTGGACTTCAGATCTTCTGTTCCCATTTTTTCTGTACCCTTTATGGAACTTGGGTGGTGGCCACGGGTAAGGTGGGTAGGCAGCTGTCGGGGATTGTGGGTAATTTTATAATTTAAGCCTCGCTTATGGGTTTATATGTGAAACTCGCTTAGGCTAATTAGCACACAGAAGCAGAGTTCTTCTTTGACCCCTAAAAAAACAGAGTATCCATCCCTTGATTTGTTTGGATTTGTCAAAGAAAATGAAAAGCATAGCTTTGTTGAAATTTTGATGTAAATTATCAATCTAATATATATGCTCCCTTCCTTACCAATTTTTGCATCGTCAGCCTTTTCTTTTAGAAACATAGCTTTGTTGTATTAAAACAAATAAAAGTGTATGTTCTTGATGTGCAATGACTGTTGCCAATTATTGGTAAAGAAGAATATGCATACTACCTAGCTGGAAAGTTCTCTCTCTACTAAGCTGAATATCGAACTAAACATATGGTACTGATGAAATTTGTGATGATTGAGATTTTGGTTCTCTTGAGCTCCTCTCGGAAAATAATTTTGTAAATTAACAGCACAAAGAATCAAAAGAGAACATTGCATGATATATATATATATATATCTCCTCAGAAGGAGATGTATTGATGCTATAAAATGAAATTGGTCTTAGGAAGGAAGACATTGGATATATGCAAAACAAGAGTTTGATGCTAATTTATATGAAGGCAGAAAACAACTCAATCCGGCTGTTCAAGTAGAAAAAAATTCATCCATCCACGGCTTTTGGACTGTCCCTTCTTTTTGTGAGAAGGTGAAGAAGAGCGAGTGATAAGAGAAGCGTGAGAAAGAAGAAAACGGCAGTGATGAGCACCTTCCAGCCACGGAGGCGGCCTCTGGAGTTAATATTGCCGTCTGTCTTGGCTGCTGCAATTGTATGACCATCCTGTTGCTCTTCTTCTTTGTCTGGAAAACACAGAAAACAAATTAGAGGAAACTTATTTTTGAAATGAATATGGACTAACCTGTGAACAATGAATAGTCTTGGCTGCTGCAATTGTATGACCATCCTGTTGCTCTTCTTCTTTGTCTGGAAAACACAGAAAACAAATTAGAGGAAACTTGTTTTTGAAATGAATATGGACTAACCTGTGAACAATGAATAGTGGAGTAAAATGATCAAGTGTACCTTCTTCATCAGAGTCACCAAGGATCTTATTGAACCAAATCGGATCTTTTATTGGTACACTTCTGCGGGAGAGCAAGTATACTCCTGGCTGATATTCATCCAAATCTCCACTCGTGGCACATGCAGCATAATACGGATCAATGGTTTTGTGTTGGGCACTCATCATATTATTATGATTCTCTTCTTGCAGCGGCTGCAAAAGCTGGATGCCGAACTCCTTTACCTGAAGCCAAGGTTCCATAATTACGGAAACAAGCACTTCATCGCCACCATCTAAGTGAACCTCCTCCTCCAACTTCCAATGGCTTAACCATATCATGTCTTCTCCTTCACCAGGAATGCCGCAGTGTGACGGGGCATAGATCCACTTCAGACCCTTGCTCTTATTTCTGACTCTAGTAATCAATGGCCCAGGTAAAGCCCAAGGAGAATCATTGGCCCGTTTTGTATAGACAGCAAAGACCTTCAAGCCTCCGATTCCGTGATTAGGAAGTAAAGGCACAACAAAAGATATTGATGACTTTGTACTTTTGTGGCTGAACTGGCCTGGAACCTCATTCCCAGCAAAAAATGTGCTGAATATACCACGTTCGTACAGTCCCTACATTTATATATAATATATGACATGGACATCAGAATATTATTAGTCAACTCTTCCTATAATTAATCATATGAGATATCGAGACAGAGAGACAGAGAGACAGAGAGACAGAGAGAGAGGTGCACCTGGACGGGACAACGATCATCATCAATTTGTGACTGGTATGGTTTTCGAATCCGAATGGGTGCCATAGATTCCAAGTTGCACAAGCCCAAAAGGTTGATAATTTCTACATCAACTCTTCCAATGGGTTCTAGCTTGTAGTTATTCTCCCATTCAACTAGGTTGTCATTGTAAAAGCACTTGGTACCGTGTTTTCGGAATTGACCGGATTGATATGCTATTTTCTTCAATAATACACAACATTCCACATTCAGGCTGCCTACTCTTGGTAACCCAACAAGGGATTTGAGACTCCTACATTCCATAAAAGAGAGTTCATTGAGCCCTGTTAAACCTTGGATGCAATCTGGTAGGCTACAAATTGGATTGTGCCCTAGCTTTAGTATTTTCAATGAGGATAGATCACTAAAATCCTTTGGAAAGGCATCATCTGAAAGATTGCACCACTGAAGACTTAAGTCTACTAAAGAGCATGGTAGAGAACTCAATATACGTGAACTTCTTCCTGGCCAGAATTTACCTATTGGAATTTCATCAACCTCAAGCACTTTCAGAGATTTCAAGTTCCTCAACATCTCAATTGATAACTCATTAAGATTTGTGCAACCAGATAAAATAAGTGCTTCAAGTGATTTTAGCATGAGGATGTGCTCAGGAAGCATCCTAAGGTTTCTGCAGTTCCTCAAACTCAAGTAAACAAGTCTCTCTAGGTTTCTAATGGATTCATTGACACCAACCAGGCTTTCACAATCTTCAAGAATTAGTTTCTCTAGATTGGGGCAACATGAGAAGTCAGTAGTTTCACTAAGGCTATGACAATGGCGGAGATCAAGGATCTTCAATAACGGCAGACACTGCAGGATAAAAAAATATACAGAAAAAAACAATGTGGAGTAGTTAATATAGAATATTATAGATATATAATTTGTTATCAGACTAAAATAATCCTATATTCCATACTGTTTGTAGAGTTACGTACAGGGAAAGGAATTGAAAATTGTAGAGTTACGTACTTTTGTTCCTTGACAAACTTGTCTCAAGTCGCTATATTCCATTTCAAGAACAATTAGGCTCCCCAAAGGAAAATCAGAGGGTATAGAATCCAAAGGAAATTCAACCCAACACAGCCATCTTAATCCAGTACAAAATTCAGCATAACATCCATCGAGTTGTACATGAATAAGATGGAGTAGTTTTAGTTCATGCATCCTTCCAAATGCATTGGTTTCCAAGACTTTCTCATTTGAGTATATGGGACTGTTTGTAGGGCGCATACGCATGTCCAGGACAAGACCTTCAATTGTTCTTGTACCCTACAGAAGAAAAGTGGAAAACATTTAATATTACAAGAAGACATGTTTTTTACATTCTTACAAGAAGACCTTCACATGTTTCTTACATTCTTTTCTATCAGGATTTTGAAGGAATCCTTTTGACGCCATACTCTACTACGTTTCCAAGGCTCCTCTGACTCTAGACGAACAATTTCTCTTCCCATTCCACGAATCAGATCATGCATTTGGACCATGTCATATTTATCAATTGTCACCAAACATCTATCGATGAGATTTTGAATGCCAACAATTGTATAGAAATCACATCCATCTAGTATTTTAACAATGTAATCTTTGTCCTTTCCGATAAAGAAACAAGCAATATGGAGGAATAAGTTTCGATCATGGTCATCTTGCAAAGAGTTGTAGCTTACTCTTAGTTTATTTATTATTTCACCATTTGGAATAGCTTCTAACTTGTCCAATGCACTTTTCCATACATCTATAGTTTCCCCCAACAAAGATGAACCTAAAACTTTAAGAGCTAATGGAAGACCTCCGCAATGATCCACTATTTTTTTCGAATATTCTATGTAATCTTCAATGGGATGGTCCTGGACAAAAGCGTGCCAACTGAAGAGCTCCAATGATTCGTTTTGATCCAAAGTTTCAACTGCATATACCTCAGTAACTTGATGGGCCTTTAACAATCTTGCACGCCTAGTTGTTATGATGATTTTACTTCCTGGACAAAATCGATCTTTCATCCGAAGTAGTGCATCTAATTGGTCCACATGATCCACATCATCAAGAACAAGGAGAACCCGTTTAGAACTTATGGCGTCTTCAATCTCAGTTATTCCTTGACTAACACTGTGTATTCTCACTTTTCTCCCCTTCAAAATATCAAAAAGAAGTTGTGTTTGTATTTGAACTAAGCCATTAGGTTGTTGTGAAATATCTTTGATGTTTTCAAGAAAGCTGCTTCCTTTGAATCTTTGAAAGTTTGAATTATAAACAAACTTTGCAATGGTTGTCTTCCCTATTCCACTTATCCCATAAATTACAAGTATGTCAACATCAGTTGATCGGTGCTGTAACCATAAGTTGATATTTTCCACTCGAGATTGCATTCCAACCATGTTGGGGGCAACACTTAAGGGTGTGCGACTTAGTTTGTCTCCAATTACCTTAATTATTTTCTCGATAAACTTTGACTCGTACCTAAAACAATTGCAGTCAAAATGAAAGAAAATTCAAACATGTGTGATTCTCATATAATTGACTTATAAAATACCATGGAAATTTATAAGATCAGAAAGTTCTAAGGTATAATAAGAGATGAGTCCATGAAAGCAACAAATTTAATTAATCGTACCGAATCTATCAAATTTAACCGGTAGTGTGTGCACTGGTTGTGAATGGGAACAACTGACGATAGATGTAAAAGCTAAGTGAAGATCAATCTAGATGATGGGGTTGAATTAAGCCTCTAAAACTAAAGCTCAACTAAACATAAACAGAAACCATTTAAAATCGAGATCAAGCAACTTGTATTAAAAACGGAGGATATTTAAAAAAATATGTAGAAGCTCTTTTGGTTTTTGAAAAACTGTTTTAGCCATTTCAAAAGTAAAACACACAAAAATTGAAACACCTATTTTTAGTATTTTTAATGCGTCAAAGAAAAACTAACGGAGTAGCTAGTTGGAATGAATTACCCATCAGCTTGATTTTGCAAGACCATCCCTGCAAGATCAGCAACCTCTGCAAGGGCCTCCCTCCATGCCTTCACCTTCTGCAGCGGTTGAGTTTTTTGGTGCCTAGCAAATGCCTTTGCAAGATTTCCTGTCTGCTTCCTCACATGGGATGGATCTACATCGTAGAAGACAGGCAAAACGACATGGTCAGCTGAGATCCTCTTGCGTTCAAGGATCATCAAAAGCTCGTCAAGGCACCATGTGGAAGAAGCGTAGTCTTTCGAGAACACAATAACAGAAGTTCGTGACTGTTTGATTGCTTTTTGCAGTTCGGGCTTGATATCTTCTCCTCTCTCAATTTCATCGTCGTCTCGGAAAGTACGGAATCCGGCGTTGACCAATGCTCTACAGAGGTGGTCAGCGAACTTCTTGCGAGTGTCTTCCCCTCTAAAACTCAGAAACACGTGATAACGAGAATATCGAGAATTGGAGGAGGTTTGCTGAGCTGCTCTCACAAGTGCCATAAGTGTGTGGTGAACAAACAAACTGCCTGAGTGGGAAATAATTAGGTTTTGGGGTTTCTACTTCCTTCCTGGATGTTGTAAACAAGCAGCTTGTGAAATGAAAGGATGATGCATCCATCGACTTAAAAGCAATTATTTTTAGTCCAGCAAATATGAAATCATCAATGTCTTTTTCTAAAAGCAATTATTTTTAGTGCTGAGTGAGACATTTTGGCCGGCCGAGTTTCTTTGCTTTTTATTTGGGTCAACTGGTTTCTTAGCTTTTTTTTTTTTTTGGGTCAACTAGTTTCTTTGCTTTTTTTAAGGTAGCTAATTGGTGACAGTACTTACAAGTTGTAGTCCTTTATTGTTAAAAAAACAAAAGAAAAAAGAAATTTCAAAAGCAAAACAAGTAATTGGAGATGCTTAACATATAAAAAGACAAGTCTTTTTATCACAAATGATTCTTAAAGTTTACAAAATTATCACGAATGATTCTTGAGGGTTTTTTTTTTTTGTGACGTGGAAGGTAAGTGTGAATTGAAATTATTTTTTTTCTGCAACTTTTCATCCCCCTCCCTCTACTCTGTCTCTCTCCCCCTCTGCCCTCGCTCTCCACCCTCCGCCCCCTCTCTTCCCCTCTGCTCTCCTCTGTCCTCTCCTTCCTCTGTTTTTTCTTGCCCACAGCCACCCGCAAGAAAAAATATAAGATATACAGTGGTGGAGAAAATGTATAGTTATAAAACTAGATTTTTGTGGTAGAGAAAGGAGTGTATAGTTGTATATCATACAAAATAATATAACCCATTTTCAATAAATAAAAAAATATAATCCATATATCTTTCCACATCTTTGTATATAGTTGTATATCATAACCCACAACCTGGGAATCTCCTCCCTCTGGTTTTTTCTTGCCCACTGCCACTCGCAAGAAAAAATGGTCTCTGTTTTTTTAACACTGCCACCCGCAACCCAAGCCTAACTTCCCCACCCTCTCCCTCTGTATTTTCTCTCCTCCTCTACCCTCCCCTTATGTTTTTAATTATTTTAAGTTGTTTGAATAAATGTTTGTGTGAAAGGAAATGTGAAACTGCTTTGTGCAAGTGATTATTTTGCAAAATAAGCAGAGGGAAAGGGGTGGGGTTGGGCGTGGGTTGCGGGTGGGGATGAGGTGGTCGGGTTGTAGAGGCAAGAAAAAAAAAAGAGGGAGAGGGAGAGCACATAGAGGAGAGAGGGCAGAGGGAAAGAGAGAGAGGCTAGAGGGAGGAGAGAAAGGACAATGGGGAGAGAGAGGAGAGAGAGTAAATGGATTTTCATTAAAAAAAAATTATTTATTTATTTATTTAATCCACATGTTATGATGTGATTGGACATGTGAACTCCACGTATCTTCCACATCAGACACTTAACATAATTTCTAATAGCAGGGATCATTTGTGATAAAAAGCCCTAACGTTAAGAACTATTAATGTTACAAAAAAAATCCTCAAGGATCATTCGTAACAATTTCGTAAACCTCAAGGACTATTTGTGATTTTAAAAAAAAACCAAAAGACAAATGACATGCGTTATAAACATGTGGAGCCCTCAAGCCGATGTTTTAGACTTTAGGGGCAAGCTTTTGGACTTTGGGAGAAAATGAAGACTTTGTGGTGTGTAGGTGGCTTGATATAAGGTATATAAGTATAATAATACAATATAATATGTATTATGTAGTGTATTGGTTAGGTGGTTTGATATAAAGTATGATGTGTAAGTTTAATAATATCATATAATATAATAATCTACAATTCAATTATAGGTGGAGTACCTCTAATTTCAATGAGGCTTTTAAATTAAAATCCCATACCAGACTTCGGAGGACATAAGCATACTCGCCGAACCTCTCGTTTAGTTTAGTTTATGTGCAACTTTATTTATTTACAACAACTTGGAGATTCTCTGTTTTTTAAAAAATAAAATAAAGAAATGGTCACACCATTATAACTTAATAATTGCATATGACAAAGTCTACGTTCACACCATGGACTGTGAGTAAACCTGCTATTATCACTTTGGTTTTGATGGATATCACAATTTTATGCGCCAATGTCTTTGAGCTAGTTGAATATTAAGAAAAGTAATTGATGTTCTTAATTATAAGTGGACAATATCGCTCAAATTAGTATAGTAATATATAAAGTATCGTTCCAACAGGGATCAAATTAATCTATTAATTACTAAAGTGATTTATTTCTAATTATATTTGAATTAAAAGATAAGAGGATTAAGATAACGAAAATGTAATTAAGCAAGTAAAATAAATTGAGATTAAGTAAATAATGTAAAAGATGACAACAAAGCTAATGAAGCACTAGGACACCGATTTCACCTAGCTAATCCAGCCCAAATCCTTCTAGCTTGTTAATCCTAATTACCTAACATGTTGATAATCGTTTTCCCTTACCTCACCAATACTCTATTCCGAGTTATATTAGTTGTATTCCTTACCATCAACCCACTCTATTCCTAGTTATAGATTTAGATAGCTAAATACCCTTTAAGATTTGAGGAAAACATTGTGTATCGGCTACGTAATTTATGGTTCTTGTTACAAGAAGCTATTTATTAGGCATCTCCTTCCGGTCTCAACCCAATTCTTCCAATTATGCAATTAGTGGCCAATTAATTGAAAGCATTAAGAATGGTAACAAGCACTCAACATGTATAGATAAATAAAATTAACAATATCAAAGAATTTGAGTATTCATAGCTAGGCTATATCGTAGCCCTAGTAAATGAAATTACTTCATGAAGGATTTATTGAGAATCATGATGGTCGATGAAGACATGGAAGGCACCGAATTCTCCAAGTAGAATGCCATGGTTGCACAAGCTCTCTTTGTATTCTCCTTGGGTTTTTGGGTCTATGAATATGAATATGTCGGAATTTGATGGTGGAGGATGATCCCTTGATCAATGGCCGAAACTGCATATTTATAATACACCTAGAAATCCTACCCATCTAAGGTATAATTACAATTATTACAAAAATATGATTCCTTCTAATATAGGGTCTTCTTTATTTCTACTTATTTGACTTGGTAAGATTTGAACCATCTTGAACCAGGAAATTTGATAACACTCCTTGTGACAAAAGGAATGATTTGGCTTCTTGACTTGATTTATCTCCAATCTTCATCTTCTTGCCCCTTTTTACCTCAATTTCTCCAATTTCACAATTCCTTCACAAATCTCACAAAACCAATTAAAACAACCAATTTAATCTAAAGAAATTAACGAATAAATAAGTAAAGGAGGCATAAAATATATATAAAATATAGGCTTATCAAATACCCCCAAACCTATCTTGTAAGACCCGTGTCTTGGGGAAACAAGAACGGTGTGCAGTCCCACATTGCTCGGGGAAGGAAAGGTGAAGTGCTTTATATGTGTGGGCACTTCTCTTCCTAGCAAGAGGCCTTTTGGGCAAGATAGTATTAGCTTGAGCCCAAGAATAAAATTGTGAGGGGGGAGGCCCAAAGCGGACAATATCTTGCTAGGGGAGTCAGGTCGTGGCAAATGGTATCAGAGCTAGACCCAGACCGGAAGTGTGCCAGCGAGGACGCTGGGCCCCAAGGGGGGGTGAATTGTAAAATTCGTGTCTTGGGGAAACAAGAACGGTGAGCAGTCCCACATCACTCGGAGAGGGAAAGGTGAAGTGCTTTATATGTGTGAGCACTTCTCTTCCTAGCAAGAGGCCTTTTGGGCAAGATAACATTAGCTTGAGCCCAAGAACAAAACCGCGAGAGGGGAGGCCCAAAGCGGACAAAATCTTGCTAGGGGAGCCCGTGATAGGGTTTGCTTTGTGAGGCCGGGGGCCATTGTTGTAAACTGTATGAATTTCTGTTGCATGCTGCCAGTTATGAATAAACTATGATTTTTAACAGGTTGAAAAATTTGGGAAAGGTTCAATTTTCAGGGGAGACTCTACCGAAATTCCGGTAGAAAGTCTCGTCCATTAATATGTGGGCCTGGCATCGGGATGATGCCGGAAATAAGACGGGATTCGTCCCGGATTTCGAGGAATTCGTGGCGGGTCCTGTAAAAAATACTTTAAGCACAGCTAAGTGAAGTGATATAATTATGATGCATAAACTTTCATGGCAACACTTTAGTTAAAGAAATATGATCAAACATTACATACACATCACTATTAGTAAGAGAAAGTAAAAGCTTTAACAAATTTTTATTTTTATGTTTTCATTTTTATTTTTCCAAAAGTTAATGGAATTTTGTGATTTTGCAAACAAACATGCATGAATTTATGAGTCCCAATTGCTTAGGAATAAAGAAATTTCATCAAAAGGAAGAGGACACACCTGGAATAGCTCCTTGAAATCCCTGATCGCGAATAGAATGGATCTGGAATGAAATCAGAAAATTCTGGAAAATTGACCTTTATGACTCAAAACTCAAATAATAACAAACAACAAAATTACACACCCCCAAAACTAAACTAAGCATTGTCCTCAATGTTTCAAGTAGATGCATGTAACAATTAGTAAAGGCATAGAAGGATGGAAAATAAAGAAAAAAAATTGAAAAGAAAGGAATGAAGGTGCCTAGTTGGGTTGCCTCCCAACAAGCACTTGGTTTATAGTCCTTAGCCCGACTTTTGGAATGATTATCACCCGGGATCATGGAGAGCGAACGACTCCATTTGTTGATTGAAATTTGCTTCCAAGTATCTTTTTAAAGTGAGGGTTGATGCGGCAATAGTGCTTGGGATGGCCTTCGTTTCCAACAAGTTAACACTATCTTCTCCACGTTTTAAAATATGGTAATTATTTGAGTTTATTAGATCACTTTTAAATATTGTTTATAGTTTGGAAATATGTTTTTAAAATATGGTTATTTTAGGTTTTAGCAAATGCAATAAAGAAAAGCAATTGAGTGGTGCAACCACAAAGTGAAGTGGCCAGCTGCAAGGAAATCACAAACGATTCAAATTGGCATTAAAACAATTGTTATTTAGTTGGAAAGCAGCCAAGCAAACAAAGAAGAAGATATGGAGGTGCCGCCAGCACTAGAGGATGAAGTGCACCTGCCAAAGA